TGTAAATATTGTCGTAACGGCTGACAATGTTGATACCAATCAGTGCAGTGGCCCAAATGTGCTGCTCATAACTTGTCCAATTATGTCAGTCAGGCAGGTCGATTTCCTGGCCGCCTGACTGGCTAGCTGGCTATCTGGCTGACTGGCTGACCATTTCCGTTCTGTATCCACTCATTCAGTTAACTATAATAACCATCAAAGGTTTGCGCAAAAAAAAAAAAAAAAAATGTAAGCAAACAGAGCAGCAGTCAAGGGCTTATATTCAGCTGGTTTTTCATTTAATCACCATAACCATGTTGTTGTGATACCTCGCCTTCTTTCACTTGACTGAAGTGTTGCAATTAATGCGCATTTATTTGTAAAGCCAGTCACGCCCATCCACTACCGTACCGGCGAGAGCGGTGCGAGCAGCGTGAGCGTCGAATAAAATGCATTTTTACACCTGCCAACTGGGCAAAAAGCTACTAGCAAACAGCTAGTTAACAATGCATAAGAACTTCATTTTTATGTTGAACATTTACAGTTGATTATCCTGCAGTTAACTAACTGGGCGTTCTGTGCTTTTACATACATACTAAGTGTAGCTGCACGTTGAAGCGCCTGTCTGTTCGCCATTTTCCCTTTGGTGTAATAAATATTAATACCATTGCAAAGGTCTTTCACTGCTACATGTTTTCATTGCTAACTCATTCAGCTAATTGTTGTGTACATACATACATATGTGTGTGTATATGCTTTAGCGTTGCTGTCAGTGCGCTTCCGAGGCGCTTAATTTGCCGTCTGTGCGCGTCAGTAATGATGTTACGCCCTTAACTATATTTTTTGTTTATTTTTTTTTTTATTGTTGTACATTTTTATTATTACATTAATTTTTTTATTAACTCTCTGCATAGTTTTGCTTTAGCTTCATTACTCAGTTAATCCTTTTACTCGTTTTGATATTTTATTGTTTGCAGTAAATTAAAAAAGGCAATTTTCTCTTATACGGCTTTCAATTGAAATATTTTTAAATAAACCATAATTAAATGTTATTTAATTTAAGTCTTCCCGCAATTTTTTTTTTGTTTGTAGTATGTAACATTTTTATGCAGCATGACTTTTTACGCTTTGTCACCTTTATTTACATAAAAAATTTAAATTCATATTTTTATTGGTTTTCTTTAATGTCATGGTAAGTCAGGAATATTGCATCTCAAATTCAAATGCAAAAATTTAATTTGCATATCAATGTAGTTTTTATCAGAATCTCTGAATTTTTATGCGTTTAATGGATTTTTTTTTAAATCTATAATAATGCCTTCAGATGCCCAATTAAATTGAACAATTGAATTGTAAATTGTATCAACTGGTGATTGAATTGAAATCAGTGTCAATTTCAGAAAAAAATTAGGTCGCAATTAAGTTTAAATGTGATGTTCATACTTAAAGCATCGCTGCATTTTCCTTGTCCTGCTGCCTGCATTGGATATTAACACCAGTTTGTTGGATTAGACGGAATAGTTGACAATGAGTCATAGGAAAATTACAGCGGCAAATAAGAAGAAGAGAAGATACAGTGGTGGACAAACGGTGATTCACGTTTGGCGACTATCTCTTGCTGGTCTCATATGCTTGCAGTTATCATTCAAGCTTAGCGTGAAGCCAACAAGAAAAGAAGAAAAGAACCCTTAGCCAAGAAATTTAAAGCTGCCTTAGAAAATTCTAGTTGACTGTGATCTGAACCTATCCTGCCTATGAATGGGCAAAAAGTGTGTTTATTTAAGGAATTTTTTCTTAAAGATTCCGGTACTTAATTACAAAACCGAAGCAAATTAAGCAAGATATCTTACCGCATAAGATGCCTTTGCCTTGAATTTCTCAAATTATTCAAACCTTTTCATAAATCTGGTACTCGATAAACGTCTTATTATAATAATTTTTTAAGAGGTGACATCCGAAATTTTGAACTTTTCTTACGATATGTTTTATGTGACTGAAATGAAATAAACCACCGAATTTATTCTTACGTACTTGAAGTCGGTAAAGAAACACCCTGTATAAAAGTGAATGTCTCTCTGTTTGTTCTCTATGGACTCATAAGTCTTCTTTTGATTGCGAGCGCCACTTAGTGAGTAATTTTTTTTGCTAAATATGTTTTTTTAAATATTTTTTTTTTGCAATATATTTTTTTTTGCAAAATAATTTTTTTGCAGCATATTTTTTTTTCAAAATATTTTTATTTTTAGTAAAATAATATTTTTTTGCAAAATATTTTTTCAAAATAATGTTTTTTTTAATATATATATTTTTTTCAAAATAATGTTTTTTTAATAATTTTTTGCAAAATAATTTTTTGCAAACTAATTTTTGCAAAATAATTTTTTTTAGAAAATAATTTTTTTTTAGAAATTTTTTTTTTTTTGCAAAATATTTTTTTTTTGTGTTTTTTTTTGGTAAAACAATAGAGATAATAAATTTGAATCAAATCGGTTCGTAAATAAAATATGTTTGATATTCGCTTCCAGCATCACCTGGCGAGTGGTTTTCCTATCGTTAGGGTAATATGTGTACTAAGTTTGAATAAGTCGAACCAAAAACACGGGTTGCTGAATACATACATATATATTATATACTATGTGTAGATTAGTTATTCTGTTACGTGGGAGACCTTGAAAACTTCTGCACTTCCACCAGGGGAAATAAATGTATGGCTCAAAATCAGCACGACTTGGGATATTGCGAACCGCTGTAGTACTCCTGAAGTGACATCCACTTTCAGCATTTGAGAACGTCAAAGCCAAAAATTATGAAAATAATCGGCCTTATTAAGGTTGTCGACGTCGACATCGATGTAATTTTTTATTAAAAAAGTAGCGCTCTTAAGTCCAACTCCAACTACACTGATCACAGTATTTTTGCATTTTGTATTTTCTTTTTAGATTCAAAAACCTAATTATCGCAAAATTTTATGAAAAAATCTTTCGTATAACATTTCAGCACCTTAACTGCCTTTTGACCCTTATTTTGAAAAAGTTTCATGGAACTTCATTAAAAATGCCATTTAGAAAGTTAAATATTAAAAAAAAAAAAACAAGTAATAAAGTCTAAGTTCGGGCGGAGCCGAACATTAAATACCCGGCGCAAGTGTTAAATATATGATTTTCACCTTTCCGAAACCTACCGCTAGATGGTAAGCGGGGGTGTATCAATTTTGAGTAAATTAGCGTCCTTAAATTTCGAAATATTGCAGTTTCAAGCATTTTTGAAATTTACCGTTATATGAAAAGCGGCCGTAATTTTAGTCCGATTTCAATAATTTTTAAAGTTTTGCTTTTATGTGGCAAGCACAATAACCACACCGAGTTTGGTACAAATTGGTAGAACGGTTACCGATATACTTATATGTGATCATAAGTGGGCGGTGCCACGCCCATTTTGCAAAATTTTACCATAAACGTATTTCTTGGTAAAGAATTGTTGCAAGCATCAATTTTGAATAAATTAGCTTCAATATTTACTGATTTATCGAAGATTATGTATTTCTCTAAATTACCGTTATATGGGAGGTGGGCGTGGTTATTGAGCGATTTTAAAAATTTTCGGCCATTTGGTATGTTGTGCGAAGACCAACAACTGTGCCAAGTCTGGAAGAAATCGGTGGAGACGTTGCCAAGATATACACATGTAACCATAAGTGGGCGTGGCTGCGCCCATTTTTCAAAAATTTATAATATTCTTATTTTTCGTCTAAAAATTATTGTAAATATCAATTTTGAGTGAATAATCTTCAGTAGTTACTAAAATATCGCAGTTTTCGTATTTCTGAAAATTACCGTTATATGGGAGGTAGGCGTGGTTATTGTCCGATTTCGCCCATTTTCAATACCATCCGTCCTACGCCCAAAAGAAGTTCACGTACCAAGTTTCGTTAAGATATCTCAATTTTTACTCGAGTTATCGTGTGCACAGACGGACGGACGGACGGACGGACAGACAGTCACCGCTTAATCGATTTCTCTTTTCATTCTGATCATTTATGTATACATTTGTCTATATCTATCTCTATTCGGTTTGCCTGTTACAAACAACCGTTATGTGAACAAAGTTATAATACCCTTGTGCACAAGTGCGCTCGGGTATAAAAATGCAATCATAGAAGTCTGGTCGTTCAACAATGTTTGTTTAAATAAAATTATAGTTTAAAAAACTAAAACTTCCCTGTTATAATTGCCATTCGTATTGTCATCTGGTATGTAACTTGGGAATAGAAATCGCTGCATCTTTTAGGCGCACCAATATTACATAGTTACATCCCGAGTTAATAAATGGAAGGTAAAAAGGCTCTCACAGTGTTATTTTCTTTTTCTTTTAATTTAAAATTGAAGTTGATATTTCAACGTTTTCTAATATTATTTAAAATCTTAGTTTTTGTATATTTAAGTTATAATTATTCATTTAATGTTATGCCTGTTTTGCATGTCCTACAAACTATTATTTATTAATTTATGAATTTTTGCATTTTATTTCATTTTTATATTTCCATTTGTGTGCGTATATTATTGCAACTACTACTACTACTACTCGTACTCCATACAACTGCATTTATTTATGTAAATCTACTGCAACAACTACTGCTTGCTTGCCTTTATACTTTTGTATTTGTGCCTGCTGTTTGTACATCGTATATCGTATCGTATCGTATCGTATCGCATCATATGAATCGTTTTTAATTTCATTTGTGCCGTAAATTGTATTGTCGTATTGTGTTGCATATCGTTTGTGAACGTCTCATATTGCTGCCGTCGCTCGTCCGACGCCCATTGATCCTTCCTGCATATGTCCGCACCACGACTATTTGATAAATGCATGAATATTATTCTGTCCTGTCGCTGCTTGCTTTTCTGCGTGCCCGTTTTATATGATTGCGCTGTCATTGGCGCCTTATCGCCGCGATGATTCGATGTGGCTGCAACATGTGGCAATAAATTCAATAATCTCTTTGTATGCTGTGTTGTGCGTAGAATTTTGGAAAGCAAAATCAGGTTTGTTTTTATAGTAAATAGTATGTAAATTCTAATTTGTTTAATGTTATTTCATTTAGTGCATTGTTTTCCATATTTTCTATATTTCATTATTTCATTTATCTATATGCGATTATTATTTCATTAAGTTTTGCTTTAGTAGTTTTTAATTAATAGCCTTACGTTTTGTTTAAGATAAGTGTTTATATGATGGAAAACAAGCAAAATCTTGCCAACCATTATTTTTAATCAAACAATTATATATTTATGTAATTATTTAATTTTATTTAAGCTCAATTAATTTGTATTGACAAAAATTTTTGGTTGTGCGTAAGAAGTTTATTTTTGATTACTGGCCAATTTTAAAACTTGACAGCAATTTTTCGACATAAAAAATTTGATTTGCTCATTTAAAAGCTGAACACAAATTGTTGGTCATAAAAAAACTGGACATAAATTTTTGGCCATTTAAAAAGTGTACATAAATTTTTGGTCGTCCAAAAACTTGATATAAATTTTTTTTACGTTACAAAGTGCTCATTTGATTTAGACATACATTTTTGGCTATTTAAAACTTTAACATAAATGTGCGTTCATTTGAAAACTGGACATAAATTTTTGGTCAGTTAATAACGTGATGTAAGTTTTTAGCCATTGAAACTGGGCATACATTTTTTTCCATACATTTCTTGTAAGTTTTTGTTCTTTAATTTGAAAGCTGGACATACATTTGAAAAATATACATACATTTTTGGTTATTTAAAACCTGCGCACATATTTTCGACGCGTAAAGTATAGAATTAACGGTAGCAAGTGGCTGTAGTTTTTCGCCTCATAAAAATATGTATATGCAACAGCTAACGAAGGGTAAAAAATGGGCAAGAAACTTGACACCTTAAAGCAAAAAAAAAAACAGTTCGCTGTACACCACTGAGTCTTAAAGTATTTTTGCAAGGAATTTCTATCCTTTTTTGCCTTCCAGCATTTTTCGGTGAAACATATTTTTTTTTTTGAAATAGTTCTACTGGAATAATGGAAATACATGCCCCGTTAGCAAACGTTTAATGCTTTTCGCTTAGCTTTAATATACTAACATTAGGGTGGTACGTTAGGGTGATGAGAACTGAGATTTGTGTGAATAGTACTAGAACGGGGTACTCGAGGACTAAGAACTTTGAAAAAAAAAAAATCTCCAAGAACAAGAACATCGATGTATCATTCTTTGAAATCGGACTGTAAATGCAGTAGATATGACGAAGAATGCAAAAAGGCGATTTCTACGTTCTGCCTATTTTTTTTCGAAATTGCCTTGCAAAAATACTTGCGATTCGAAGGTGTAAGGCGAACATTTATTCTTTTTCAGTCTGTTGGGTAGTGGAAAAGGGGCATAAATGCACATAAAGGTGATCATATAAAAAGTTTATAATGTTAAGCACCCTCCATTTAGTATTTTTCTAAATGAAAACAAAAGAATGCCCGTACTTTTTTTAGTTAAAAAAAATAAGATATTTACAACTGCCTCAAATCCCATGAAGTTTTCCATATATTTTATATAGGGAACAACGCTTTTTCGTACAAATGATATAGAATTCTTGAAAATCAATGAAATTTTTCGGAAAGCTCTGTTTCTCTGCAGGAGACTTCCAGTAATAATGCCCAATTTTTTGTTTTAAAATTTTTTTATTTGCATTTGTATTTTTTGGGTGACCTATAAAAAATAGTTACTTTAAAAAAATTTTTAAATAAAAATTAGGTATTGTTAATGTAAGTCTTCCGAACAGAAACTGAGTTTTACGATCGAAAAATGTTGATTTTCTAGAATGCTATACCATTACTACGAAAACGTGGTTTTTCTCCATGTAAAATACATGAACAACTCTTAATGGGCTTTGAGGCAATGCTAAATATCATTAAAAAAGAAAAAAAATCTGGGTATTATATTTTTTCCTTTTAGAAAAATCCTAGGGGGTGAGATAACCATCATTTTGTCGATAAATATAACGGTTAAAACAATATAGCAGGTATTATCCGTAAAAAAGTTAGTAACTATATCCATAACTATCGATAAATTTTCGGCAAACTTGTCGATAACTATCGATATTTTTTTTATCGATAGCTATCGCTAAAAGTTATATATAGATTTCGAGGAATAGAGTTAATATTGCATACTTCTTACGTAGTCATTATGTATGTAGATATATATGTATGTAAGCAAATACGTAGTGCCGCTACTAGAAAGGAATCTATTGCGTAGTGATTATACATATTGAAGTAGTATCACTATTAACTATTTTTCCTCACCACCTCTATTTTTATGAGCTTAGTCGTAGCTTTCCACGAATTACCAATCTAATATATTTTTCTATTTTCTCTTTTTTTTTTGCCCGTACACCTTGATGATGCCGCTAATCGGCGCAATTCCAATTTGATTGCATTCACCTGAACGCGCCTCGCACACTCGCACATACGCACACACAGACAACAGTCGTTGCTCTCGGACGAACAAGCCAAAGAAGTCGAACAGATACTCTCCGCCGCACCCACAGTTGGTGTGGCCGTTGCAGCTGTTGTTGCCACAGCTACTTCGCCAACTAGCATTAAAAGTCTAATCGAAGAAACGCAACTAGAATCACCGCCACCAACAGAGCAGCAGGGCAAAAAGGCAACGACGAAAGCAGCTGCCGCCAAAGTTAGCATTGACATAGCTGGTGACGTACGTGCTGCTCCTGTAAATGCTACCTTAACTGCAAGTGGCGGTTGTAATCCAATAACTGTCGCCAACGAAAGTGTTACCGCCTATAACAAGGCCGACGAAGCGGAAGATGATGATGACGAGGAGGAGGACGACGACGACGACGGGGATGTCGACATAGTTGGCATTGGCGCCGCACCTGCACACATTTTAAATGCGACCTTCACCAAGGCGGTAGATAGCAGCATCAGTGCTGCAGCAACTAACAAGGCCAACAACAACAATAACCACAACAACAACAACAGCAGCAATACACACGACGACGATGAGCCCGAATGGCTACGTGATGTACTTGAAGCGCCTAATCGCAGTCTAGAGAATTTGCTAATTTCCCGCTGTGCTGGAGTCAACGATAGGAGGCGACATTCATCGGAAAGTCAAGACAGAATTGTGGGTGGTGAAAGTAGTTTTGTTGAAAGTAAACATTCCGACTTGGTGACTGCATCTAAGGTCGAGACTAGTTACGATGCAGACAATGATTCGACACTTTTTATACAACAACAACAACAACAACAACAACAATACGAACAACCACAATCACCCAGCGGTAAGCCAGGCGAACAGCAGTCACTTTTGAATCAAACATTTGTGCAACAGGAATCAAGTAGTCCAACACCGCATGGCCAAACGGGCGAATCTCTGCAAGAATCAATTGTTTCGGTTGAGTCAACTCAATCGGATGGTACACTCAATCAGACTACGACCATTGATGACAGCATAATCTCAAGCAAACATAATTCCACTTACTCATTAGCTGAGGGTGAGCTACATTCGATTAATACAAATACAACAACTACTAGTCTTGGTGGCATAGAACTCGACGATTCGCAATACTATATACCAGAGTATCCGCCAGTGAAGAGCAAGGAAGTTTATGTGGAATCCGGAGTGCATTATTTCGAAGATGGCAACTTTTGGATGGAAGTGCCGGGTAAGTTTGGTTTTTAATATTTTATTAGTGTATTTTCGGTTCTGATTAGTGATTTTATCACTGAATCCTAACTGTCGGAAAACTTAAGGAAAGCTTAATTTTTTATAGAATTTTAATAAATTAAATGTTTCAAAAGATTCTAGCTAGTTACGCCTGTTTTTACTTTTTGAAACTGCAACCGTTTGAATAAAAAATTTTGTAGGAAGGAAAATCATTTGTGAGCTTTCCTCCCCTCTCACTTTGTTTTTGTATGGGCAAGCAGTTTTAAGTACAGGAACGACTCGAGTGTTAACGGAAAAAGCTTGTTGTTGTTTTATTATTATTATTTGGAGATGAAGCTCTGCGACCTCAAGATCTATTGTGCCCACTTCATGGATTTACAGCCTGTCTATTAATCCAGTATCCGAGACAAACTTTAGTATGGAATTTAAACCTACGGATTTCACTTCGCCCCCGGTTATAAAATGTTCACCCAGGACAGTCTTCTAAGATGTGCTTTGCACTCTCCATATTCGTCCTGCAAAATCTCTATCGCTTCTGCGAGTAATTTCTCAGTTTAGTCAGGTGATAGTTCAGCCTGCAATGTCCTCTTAGGATTCCTGCAACAATTCTTAAGTTATTCTTGGATAAGCTCATACATTCCTTAAAGCCTTTTTAAGTTATATGCTCCTAAAAGTGCTTTGGACTGCTCTAGACCCAGTAGCTATTTCTTTAAGTCTCTTCCTCTAACCGGCTCAGGGCAGATAGTGCATGAAAGGGGTTGATGCTTCCTTCTTCGCAAGTTCATCAGCAATTCCGTTTCCTTTAATACCAATATATCCAGGAATTCAGAGAACCAAAACTCGATTGGTCGGACCAAGAGTATTCAGCTTATCAAGGCACTCACTCACCAGTTTAGATGTTACCTGATGGGATGTGAGGGCCTTGATAGCCATTTGGCTGTCAGTCAAGATCGCGATGTTCTCATTCCGGTAGTTTCGCTTCATATTAAAGTCCACACATTTCTATGGCGTATGTTGCAGCCTGGAAAATGCACATATGTTTTCCCATGGGTTCCTAGTATCTTAACCTCGGTCCAACTACACCTACCCCGGTACCCTCTTCAGGCAATGAGCCATCAGTGTACCAGGTAATCATGTTTTGCTTTATCCGATATCTCCTGGATATGCCTGCCCACCTCTTATTACGCAGAACAGTTGTTGTAACTGCATACAAATTCCCCAAACCGTTTTTAGGGAGCAATGCTGGGGTGGCAGTCCTTGGCCAGATATTAATCTCAGTCGTTCCGCTTACGTAGACCCAACTCTCGAGGGAATAATTCGATCCGAAAGCGTCTGTTGTTTCAGCGATCTAATCCATACGACCCTGCCGCAGCGTAGCTCCATAATCTACTTATTCGTTCTGACCTGGAGTTGAAATCCGGAAACCGATTTCTTCTGCATTGGCTATCGAAGGAGACTTGATGGACCTATGTAAGTCTTCACTGCAAAAAAACCCTTGATGCGTTCATTCTGGCACTGAAATGGTGGACGGCGAATTATTTGAATGGTCGATAGTGTTTCTTCGAGACTTATATTTCTAGGTGCTTGGGAACAGCACTGGTTGACTAAGGTAGAAGTGGCTTCGAATTCTTCCTCAGTTTTATTTTGTCAAGACTATAGTTAAAAAGGCGCGCGAGGTCTTTCAAATTTTTCGACTGCCATTTTTGTTTAACTATACTCGAATGTCCCTTAAAAATTGAGGTAGGACTGGTAGTAGAGGTGGCTCTCCTCGATGGATTGTTTACCATATTACTGATCGTTGGTAGCTCTGAATGAACGCTTCCTTGACAGACTATCTTCTGCAGCATAGCTATTTGATCGGTAGCCAGGCCGGAGTATCTAAGTTTCCACTGGATACAATACTCTTGCCTCTTTATAGTCGAGCTTAGCTGTTTAAAACATTTATCGGTGTTTTAAACCCTATTTCATAAAAAATCAAGAAGAAGACTTTAACTGCTTTATAAATCGAAAATTTGTATTTTATTTTTATGAATAAGGCCATTAGAAGATAAACTTTATATAGATAAGCATTCGTCAGAACGACAAAACATTTTCTGCTCACCCTAATCCGATGAACTGCCGTAGTCATGACGATCAGCTTCATACATCAGCAACTTGAAGGCCCATCTATCTGGAGTTCATACCCATATATATATCCGGTGTATAAAGACATGAAGCCTAAATGTTCTCCATAAATCCACCGCCTTCAACTGCCATCCTGCACCTCTTTACTTTTGTGCGGAACCAGTAAAATAATTCTAAATAATTCGGTGAGAGGGAAGAACATGATGTTTGCGTGTATTTATAAAAAATATATATATATTTATTGGATCAAAAAGTAGCTGGGTAGGCACTGTGGCCAATGGCAATCATCTATTACCACCTCTGCAAGGTTGTACGCCATGCCTAGTCCACAAACACTCTGAAATTATTCTCCGGAAGGTACCACATATTAGGCTGAGCATGCTTTGAAGTGTCCTCAACTTATTACTTAAGCAAGTTTTGTTAAATGACACTTGAAAAGTGCATATGCAAGAACCTCCTAAATTTCATAAAGTTAATTTTTGCACACGCAGCAATGACCATAGAGGTTCTAGCATGCATTTAGGCGCTAGATTTTTGTAGTCGCCTAGACAAACACTGCAGTCTTTAAATCGACGGAGGTGTTATGTCCAACTACTAAGTAATAATTTATTTTCGATTATCTTTTTCGCAGGTCTACTCGACTTCGATGACGACGAACTCTCCTATCCGCCAATACCAGTAAAAAAAAATACCAAAGTACGCTTTAGTTCCGGACCCATACAAGTATTTTCAACCTTCTCCGTTACCGATTATGATCGCCGTAATGAAGATGTCGATCCCGTGGCCGCTTCAGCCGAATATGAGCTGGAGAAGCGTGTCGAGAAGATGCATGTCTTCCCGGTGGAATTAATGAAAGGTCCTGAAGGTTTAGGTTTGAGTATTATTGGCATGGGCGTTGGTGCCGATGCTGGACTCGAGAAATTGGGTATATTTGTGAAAACTATAACCGATAACGGTGCAGCAGCACGTGACGGACGCATTCAGGTGAGTTGAAATTTTCAAGTTTTGACACCGAAGGTGTGTACATTATGGCCAGCTCCCTGCGTCCACCTATGAATGTACATGCGTCATCAGCAATAACGTGACTGATGGACGTTCTAAATTTCACGAGGTGGACGTGCGGGAGCGCATTTGTACTTGCTTCAGTTAAAACTTTTAAATTTGCTCAGGTTAACGATCAAATCATCGAAGTGGATGGCAAAAGTTTAGTGGGCGTAACACAAGCGTATGCCGCATCGGTGTTACGCAATACATCTGGTCTAGTCAAATTTCAAATTGGACGTGAACGTGATCCGGAAAATTCCGAGGTGGCACAATTGATACGTTTGAGTTTGCAAGCGGATCGCGAAAAGGAAGAACGACTGAAAAGGTGAGGATGTCCTTTTTTGGTTTTATTTATAAAAGTAAAATTAATATTTGTTTATTATGCTACAGACAACAAGAGGAATATTTACGTCGCACACTCGACTACTCGGAGGACTCCACACAGCCAGTTTCGGCTAATTCTAGTGTCTGCGAGGGACCCTCGAGTCCCGTACAAGTGGAGCATCCAATGGAGGTCGAGGCTACGCACTCACAGGAGGTAGAGTCTCTGAAGAGGCTGCTACAGGAGGTATGTAAAATATGGCGCCAATTGGTATTGATTTTTAAACCCCCAAAAAATTTTGGAGTATTTTCAGAGTTTTAATCTTTTTAAACCTTTTATACGTTTCTTTATGTGATTTACTTATGACGTGGATTCACGAAAAATAAACCGAAAACAAACAAAAAAAAAAAACGATACAAAACGTTACGAAAATGCAGCACAAAGCGGTAATTGGTTTGAACGAAATAGTTTCTATAACTTTTAGCGAATTCATGTGTCTTTTCGTTTTCGCCCGATTTAGTTTTTTGTTGTTTTTAAAAATTGGAATATATTTAATTTTTGTACAATAACTGTAAATTAATTGCTAGCCATTTTTTTATACTCATATATTATTTCATTTAATTTTTTTTTACATATTTTGTTGAATGTTCATTTTTTCGTTTGTTTAATTTTTAGAGCGAATTGAGTTGCCTGTTAAAAGACGACATTATTGATACGCTGAAGCGTAAGGTGGGTGTTGTCGCCTTTTGTTTATGCTTTTTTATTTCTGCTTATTACTAATCATACTCACCACGAATTTAGCTTTCATATGCATGCCACCATATAATTTAATAAACACTTCCTCATTTCCTTAAATATTGAACTTCCTTCTTCACATTTCTCGCCATCCCATCAGCTCGTCAAATTAGAAACAACCGGCAATGAAAACGAACTACTCAGCGAACGTTTACGCCAAAGCGAACGCGAGCTAACCAACATCAAGAAAGAGGCTGCAAATCTACAAAATATGCTACAACAATCACAGGGCCAGTACATGGCACTCGACAAGAAGTATAACAAGGCCAAGCGTTTGGTGCGTGAGTATCAACAACGCGAGGTGGATATGTGTCATCGGGAGGAATTCTATCAGCAATTACTGCAAGAGAAGGACACCGAATACAATGCACTCGTGAAGAAGTTGAAAGATCGTGTCATCAATTTGGAACACGAGCTGCAGGAGACACAACGTAAGGCTGGCTTCCCCGTCGGTTTGCCATACGATAGCGCCACGCTCAAATTGACGCCTCAAATGATGCGAAAAGCGCCGCCAAAACCACTATTCCAGAAACTTGAAACCGAATTGTCGGATACGGAAATTTCCGATCTCTCACCCGATGGCGAGGGTGTGAAAACGGCTACAGTGGAACGTAAAGTACCAATTAAAGACGAATTGGATGCTGCAGTGCCGCAACATGAACTTCTGGATAATTCGGTTACAAAGACCAAAATAGATTTAGGTAAGTGGGAGTGGAAGTGAAATAATTAACTAAAGATGTAAAATGCCGCATTGCATTTTAAGGAAACTGTTATTTTCTTATACATGTCTAAAGATATTTTGTGAGTTGGCAATGCTTTGGCTTGGTTTCTTTTAAGAATGACTAATAGCTAAAATTTTGTTGGTGGCGGTAATTTTATACGTTTGTGCACAGAATTCGATATTAAAAGTCAAATTTAAAAATAAATTGGCTTAAGATTAAGTACAACCAAATACAGTAAATAAACGAATACAATAAAGAATGTAAAAAAATAAATGAATCGAAAAAATAAGTAAAAAAATAAAAATAATGTAAAAAAAAATAAAAATAATGTAAAAAAAAATAAAAATAATGTAAAAAAAATAAAAATAATGTAAAAAAAAAAATTAAAAATAAATTAAAAAAGCATATAAAATTTAAGTAAGTTAAACAAAATACACTTAATTAAATCAACACACGCATTCGACAAGTCCAATATGAAATGGTGTGAGCCAATTGTGTGGTTTTATTCAAAAGTGTTTTGATAAAAATGTGATCGAAATTATTTCCTCTTTAGTAAGACTTGTTTGGAAAAAAATTTATGCTTTAGTTCAAACAGCAATGTTCTTTTGTGAGGACTACAAAAATTTATTTAAGTAAAACTCAGTCGAACTTGTTAAGCGGTTACACCACACTGATTTGCGAAAAATAGGTAAAGAATTGATATTTTTCGAACGCAGAACGAAATTTATTTAAAAAAAATTGTATTTCACGTACATATGTATGAATGCACATTAGGGTGATCAAAAAAAAAGTTAAGTCAAAATTTTAATGCTCTTACTCACTCGGATTGTTCTATGTCGAAATCAAAAAATATTTAGAGGTCGCTCAAAGCGCTCATGTATTTTTTCGTAGCAATGGTTACAGGATTTAATCGATTCGAATCAAAATAAAAATAATCGATGCAGCAATAAAATGTCAAAAATAAATCGATCTCCCAGTATCAAATCATATATTTTGTCAAATAACGCCTTTTACTTAATTTTTACAAAGAAACTGAACACTGCAATCCGGCAAACACGGAAATCACAAACATTAATTGTAAGTAATTGTTTGTTTCAATTTCCAGATTTATCCAAAAGCTTCAGTTTCAAAACCGACTTCAATTCTCATATAAAAATTTAAGAGTACCGTTAATTTCTTCATTATGAAATTATCGGATCACTATGGGAACACCTCTGAGGTACACCCTTTCCTTAACAAAAAAAAGGAATTAACGTGGTCCAAAGTTATGCGGTAACATATATAAAAAATAGATAAAAAAAAGCATTCCGACGAATTGATAACCTCCTCCTTTTTTGAAGTCGTCTAAAAATGTGAGATAAAATTTTTCTATATTAAGGCAGCGATATGAGAATTTAACATAACTACATAAATTCTTAACCGTACTTATGAAAATGGTTAATTTTTTTGGATTTTATTTAATTTTTATCACAAAAGAAAAAAATGTGTGATCTACCTCAAAATTAACCGCTATTTTCAAAAGTGTACGTAAGTGTAAGTGTAGTGTTTTCAATACATATTTTTTCCCCCTCACTATATTTCTTACCTTAATTACCCTTTTTAGAAAAAAATGTAGTCTGCAGTATAGTCCATTGAATTTTAGTGCCGGTACAACTAATTTGGAAGATATTGGGCTGTTACTGTTGATATGTAGATTTTTATTTTTTTTTTGCTGAAGGTGTTGCTCATTTTCTCTTTGTCAAGTATGCTCAAAATTGTGGTTTTTTTATGTCAAAGAAAATGTGCATGAGCGCCAAGAAGAAAATCTCTAAAAATAGGTAGGAAGTCCGCATAATAAAATGTGGACTTAACTATACTAAAATTCAATGGGCTATACTGCATACAAAAATTTTTTCTAAAAAGGTGAATTAACCAAAATTTTAATGAAATAATCGAATGTCGATTGTCGAATTTTTTGGATATAAAAACCACGACAAAGGATCTTCGATTTAAAAACGGCATCTTTAGTTTAAAAAAGTCGTTTCGAGCAAAACGCTCAAGAAACAAGTTCACAGTCTTTCTGCCATTCCCATTTCTAACTACTGTAACTTCTGAAGTACTTTGAATTTCGAAATGGGGAAGCGCCTCAAATATTCTTCAGAGTATGTAGAAATTTTATTTTTTTCATTTTTCCAGCTAACCCCTGAACAAAATAGTGTAACATCTAAAGTGAACAATTTAATAAATAACAGAAATAATTTGAAATAAATAGTAATTAACACAATAAATACCACATAATAATAATAAAAAATTTACAATTCTGCTAAATTATGTGCACCTTTAAAAATTTTATCTTATATGCTCCCTACTCACAAGCTTTACTTTTTCCGCTTTCACAGTAGCTCATTGCCACATATATTTTTTCTCCTTTGCATTCAAGTACATACATTCATATGTATATATTAATCAGTATATATTTGACTACATATGTACATAACTATAATAGACAATATCTATTCATTCTAATTCATGAAGTCATCTCATTGCAATTTTTAGGTTTTTGTTCTAATTCTACTTGTATTTTTGTATTTTGTACCTTTCTTTCTATATCTCTTTCAATTCAATTGTGCCTGTGTCCCGTTTTGCTGCCATTTACATATACATACATATATATTGTTGTTTGTGTTGTTGATGTGCTTATGTCCAAAAAACCAAACCAACAAAACAAAAAAAAAACAAATACACTATTGCCGCCTCAAATTTTGCTGCCGCTTGCCTGCCGCTCAAAATCAAATAAAACACAAAATGCGCCTTCGCTTGCACTACTTTTCAAATCAAAACCAAAAACAAAAAAAAAATACCAACAAAAAAGCATCTCGTGGTGGTTTAGCTAATCGCCAGCTGCCTTCAACAGCGAACAACGGCAACAACAGCACCAGCAATTGCAATACAACCAACGCAGCGGGCAACAACGCCACTAATGCCACCGCCGCCGCCAACAGCAATAACAGCCAAATTCATAGCACTACTTCCGTCGCCTCCGCCGCCTCCGCCGCCGCCGCCTCCGCCACCGCTGGCATCAACATTAACACCAGTCACAGTCACAGCAGCAGCAGTGTCAGTGGCAACAGCAGCAATAACAACGGCGTTAAAAGCATCTCTTTTGGCAAGCGCACGCTCAGCAATAGCAGCTCAGATTGCGCGCTCGATGACAGCGAGGATGATGGCACTGCCACTACGGTGGCACATGTGCACGCCAGCGCCGCCTCGGATAGCAATGGACTTTCGAATGGCAGCAATAGTAGCGTTATCCACCGCAATTACTTACAGCAGCAGCAGCATCATGCCACCGCCACCAATGGCCATCACAGCGTCACTGCCGGTACAACTACTGCCATTCTGTTGAATTCGACCGCCATCGCGGGCAGTGGTGTTGCAACAGCGCGCGAACAGCAAATCAATCAATTGTATGCGCAAGTGCACAAGGATCATAATAAGACCGGCGTAGCAGCAGCAGCAGCAGCTGCTGGTGTTGGTCATTCCACAATACCGAATATATTTAAGAGTGCCATTGGTTCGCCACCCGACGTAAGCCTGGGCGTGGGCGTGGGCGTGGGCATGGGCTTGGGCAGCAGTGGCGTTAGTGTTGGTGGTGGTGATTTTCATCGCAGCAACATGACTACGTTCGGTACTAGCAATCGTGATCTCAATAGTTCATACGATTCAATTTTAGGCTCAAACGATAAACTCTCCGAGAATGAACAATCATCGGAGAATTGGATGTATCCGAGTCGACGACGAGTCGGACCGACGGGTGCCATCATAAGTGGTAAGATGCCACCTTCATCGTTTACAGAACAACTAAATCAAGCGTTGTCCGAGCGTGAGAGGTGAGTGTAGAGAAATTAATTTTTTTTTTAAATATTTATTATAGAAAAACCATGGGGAAATTAAAAAAATGTGAAGTGTAATAAAGCGGCTTTCTCACTTTATTTTCTTAAATTGCTTGGCATTCGACTATCTTATAGAAATTTTTCAAAGCAGATTTTCAAATAAGATGTGTGAAATTTTTATTCACGCACTAATTACTACACCTGGTATAATTTCACCATGCAGGTGTCTGAATAGCTAAATAAAGAAAGCCTACTTCATTAAATTCATCACTTATATTTTAATTTTTAGTTAGCTCATTTATAAAGCTTAAGGCTTGATGAAATAATACCTACTAAATCGATAACTGTGAGAATGTGTATTAAAGGGGTTAGTATCTAGTTGTCTTGTATTTTTTCGAATCTAGAAATGTATTCTCGAATATGGGTACATTATCCCGAACGGTATTAAAGTAAACTTACGATGCTTTATCTGCAGTGACATAAGCGAAGACTACACTAATTCGATTACAAAGTGTGCCTTCAAAAATATCTTCTATTTACTTCTAATAGCAAGGGCTATTTTTTAATCTAATGAAGTTGGTCTTAAAGTTCCATGTTCGTCATCTATCCATTGTTAATTTTGTTTTCCGGTTTCCAAAAATTTTCTAAGCTGTGCAGTCTTTGCTATCAGTATGCATTTATTTGTATATCCATCGACAGAAATATACTAATAGGTGCCACGGCCACCAGAATTTTCATTTAATTTTTCTTTAATTCATCCAATTATTATTTTTATTTTTTTACTGCCGGTTTCTCGAAAGCAATTTAAGTGAGAAATGATTTTTTCCGGTCAGTCTCCATATTAAATTCAAATAAAAAAAAAAATATTTTCACTTAAATTGCTTTCGTGAAACTGGCTGTTAATGTAATTATTGTTGATGTGGACTTTTTAAATAAAATTAAACTCAAAAGTTTTAAACTAACCACTAAAAAAATAAATACTAATGCAAAATAAAATAAAATGAAGTTAAATAAAAAATACATTAATAAAAGAATCAAAAAAAATAAGATTTTCCGAATTTTCCTATGCGTTTTTGTTCGAATTTAGAATCTAACTAGATCGCTCTCACAGGCTTCTCCTAATGTACGAAATTTCTGCGTGCTACATTAGGTGTAATTTGTTTTAATTAAATTCAATATACCTGAAATATGCGAAATCCTTTCGATTGATGCCCATATTGTAATAATTATAGTTGAATTTGAATTTCCAAACATGTGTAGTCCCTGCTATACAAATGTTGCTTAGAAATAAAGCCTTATCAAGACTCTTCGGATTAAAACCTAGATTGTAATAACTCATTAAACTTATAATATAATTGTATTCGAATTTAGATTTAAAACATGTGGCAACCCTCTTCAAAAACCTCAGAAAACGCTACATGTTCAAGCGGAACATTTCTAATTTAATCTCGACTTTTAATACAGGTGGCAACCCTCTTCGAAATATGTTTCTACCAAAACCCTATTAAATCCCTCTTGTATGACGTCCATATTGTGATACATATTCCAATTATCAAATTCCTTTAATTCAAGAAGAACTTGATTTTTCAAACAGGTGGCGACCCTCCTACATGTAGTTAAGAACTAAAACCCTTATGAAAAACCTTTCGATTGATACCTATATTTCAGTAATTTATAAAAATTAAATGAATTTAATTTTTAAACGGGTGGCAACGCTTGTAAAACTCCTCAGTAATATTTAAAATGTTCAATCTGAAGGTCTCTTAGCAATCTTTCATTTGACACCCATGTATTAATTTTTTAGATAGCTTGCTAATAACTAATTTGAATTTGTCTTTTCGAACAGGTGGCAACTCTTTCCAAAACACTTTCAAACTACAACTTTTTAAAGCTTCTTGTCATCCATTCTTTAATATAATTTTCAAATAAATAATTCCCTTAATTCAAGTCGAATTTGATTTTCTAAACAGGTGGCAGCCCTCCTCCATGAGTCTGGAATTGATTTTATATACATATATGTATCTATACTAAGTTCCTGGACTCTATCAAAAATATTTTCTGAGATATGATATGCGGTATGAAAATTCCGTTTTATGGGAGGTGCCACGCCCCTCGTATAATCGAGATTAAATCTATCCTATATTTTAGGTTGGTATAAATGGTACCAGTGTACAAAATTTAATGGGAATCGGTTGAGTAGTTAAAGCGTGAAAGCGTAACAAATAAACAAACTCACTTTCGGATGTATAATATTAGAAAGGATGTACGTTTATAAATAAAAATATTTGTAAAAAATTTTACCGCTTGATGATGGCGCAGCGTGTGTAGAATGAACTAAATTTACTATTTGAAGAACGAGAAAAGCTAGCGAAATAAAGTTAAGAGTATTTTAAAGCTTTTCGGGTAAAAAAAAAAATTGTTTCGTTGCAGTTTCGAAGGATAAAAAAACACGCATATTAAGTTTTAAAATCGAAAACTCGCTAATTTAAAAACCTCATTAATTCGTAAAATATTATTGGTCCCTTGCCATTACAAATTATTGGGCTTTCACTACAGTAGAATTTACGTTTTTGTGCTGATTACACTAGGGAACCATTTTAGAGTTTTTTTTTTGTTTTATAGAACCTCAACAAAAATATACAGCGGCTTAAATTTTGAATTCTTGGGCGATGAATTCAATTAGCTATTTCACTTGCATAATTCGAATATTTTTGGTATCCTACCGTTTTGGCATAATTTGTAAACTGTTTTTTCCTCAAAGGTTTTAAAAACATTTTATTTTTTGTCTCACTTTCCAGACGACTTGGTGATGGTTCATCCCGTCACTCCAGCGATGATTACACAGAAATTAACAAAAGCCAAAGCACAGCTGCCATCAATTGCAAGACGCTAATCAATGAAATACGACAAGCGGTGAATGAGGCACAGCCAAAAGGTAATTACAAATTAAATAGTTGTTTGACAAAAATTGCACAATAATTATCTTTATATTTCCCCCGAATAAGAAAAACGATAAAAAATAAATGCTATCACTTACCTCTGCCAAACACCTCACAAAATCATACCATAAGCTGCAAATTTTTATATACCATATAGTATTAAATCATGTATATGTATGTATATATATTGATTGCTGTGGTTCCTGTTATATACACTTTCTATTAAAATTCATACATACAAGTATATACATACTCTACAAGTACATATTATAATGTTGCTAGCTGTCGTTCTGTCGCATCTAACATATTTTGCATTCAACTATTTAAGTACATTTCATAAATATTTAATTACGAATTTCGTTACGCTGTATAACGCCATTAATATGTCCTTACCATAGTTGTTTTACGCCTGTAGTATAAGCATTTACGATTTGCTCACCCATATTACCTAACTAGTATTTACTAACCCAAGTATTTTTGTACTTTCTATTTCTTCACGTTTGCTCTTGTATTTTGATTGATTACTTTTTTTTATTGAAAAACTAAAATAAAACAAATCATTTGTTTGATAAATGCTATGCCGCCGCATAACTACGTTTTGGTAAAATACTCGTATAATAATATACCCTTAAATACCTTATAATGCGAATAAAAAAAAAACACACACATTTGTTTATTTATTGTGGTTACGATCAATGTGAATCTTTAATTATGAATTATTGAATGTGCAAATAGTTAAACAAGTTATACCTCAATCACTCTCTCCGCCTGGCACAGTACCATGGCAACAGCAACAACAACAACACCAACAACAACAAGCCACCGGACCGCCATCACCTACCAGCATGTCCTCGGGCTGTTCCTCACCCGGCTACTCGCCCAGTCGTGCCATTGATTTGTCCGGTTCGAGTAGCAGTTTTTCGGATCGCAAAGCAGCCGCCTGCTATAATTACAAAAGTGGACCAGTGCATGAGTGGACCAAAGAGCAAGTAAGTTTTGTAAATTTCAAATGATTATTTCTGTGTTGCGTTAATTTTCCTTTTTTACACTTATCCATTTAAAGGTTGGGCAATGGCTTATGGGCATCGAATTGGAACGTTACATTCCTGTCTTCAAGGAACATAATGTTGAAGGTGGCGCGCTGTTGTCACTCGATTCGAAAGATTTCAAAACACTTGGCGTGAGTGGAGATGATAAACATCGACTGAAGAGACGATTAAAAGATTTGAAGGCGAACATCGAAAAGGAGCGAAAAGATCAGGAACGCGAGCGACGCGAAAGAGAGAAAGCTATACGGAAAGCGGAGAAAAAAGCGGCCAAAAAGAAGTAGAATTAGAAAATATAGAATGCAGAAAAATAGAAAGTTAAAAATAAATATTAATTACTAAAAAAAAACAACAACAAAATAGTAGTTGTAGTAGTCAATAGCAAAGAGTATCTATTAGAACAGTCGATATAATAACGATAATAGTAAGCAACTACCAAAAATATTTACGTTATTTACTTAGTATAAGAAGCGCGCAGTAATAAGCATGCCAAGGATGCGAATGAATGAGATAGAGATGGTGGAGGGTGGCGAGGAAACATTGAACGTAGAAAATATTATTTGTTTTTTTTTTTCTTTTGCTTTTACATACTATGTATTTGTATTTATACACACACTTTGTATAACTTTGACGTTCATTGATTTCAACTCAAAAGCAAAAGAAAACGAAAGAATAATCTTATCTAAGTTATTTATCTCTGATTAAATAAAAAGTTTAATTAAGGTACGAGTATATTCGATTTTTTTAATCAATAAGTAATTTATTATAACTCAAATTCTACAACATCTTTGTAATTAAAATGTTAAGTAAAACGTAAAAACAATGACTTGCATAGTTTAAATACATACATACATATGTACGCATAAATCATTTAATGCGTGAGTCAAAAAATGATGTTAGGTGAAACGAACAGAAGCAGAACTAAAAAAAAGGGCAACTGAAATCAGAAATTAAAAACGTTCAAATTTTATAACACACGAAATTATTTGACGAGGTAGATTAGCAAGCATGAATAGCAAAACGAAAAGAGGTAAAGAATGAGTGTTAGATCGTTTGCTGAAACACACATACACAAACACTCATAGTTAATTGATGCAACAGAAATTGGCATAAACCGAGAAAAACATAAACAATGGACTGATTTTATGAATAAAATGAATTAATTTAAATATATACTTATATATATATGATATATATATATATAAACAAACAAGCAAGGAAACTTAACGAGGATTAAACAATTAAATTAATTAATATAAAATCAATATTCTATGAAAAATAATTACTTTTAAACATTAACTCTACTATTTAACGTATGTGTACGTCTAACATAACTGAAAAAAACTGAATTAAGAAAAAAAAGCAACACAACAACAATGAATACATTTTTCATACACACAAAATGCGATGCAGAATTTCTGTTTATTTTATTTTATTTTTGAAATTTTTTAACTTAAAAACTCAAACAGTGACAGTGCTTATGCTCAGCAGCACACCCGAAATTACCTAAGAGTTAATGCTCAGTAAACCACTTTCACCCTAGTAGCATATCTCAGATGTACATATGTATAAAACTGAGAATATTTCTTATGTCTAGTAACGGTTTTTTTTTTGTTGTAAACATTCCAAATCCCTTGTGAGATTTGCAATGAATTAGAATCAATTTAAGTTAAAAAGAAATATGAAGTTTCAAAGAGTCCATGCCATCAAGTTTTGCATCTGTCATAACAGTTCGCTTTTTTAGACAGCTGGGCTAAGGCTCGGACATAAAAGCAGTTGTGGATAAATATCGATAAATACACATAGACCAAAGCTTCGATATAGGCGTAGTACTCTTTTGAGGTGTTGAATTAAAAATGTGCGAATAGTAAACGGTTTCACTAAAAATGTTTTATTTTTTTTTTTTAATTTCGAAAAATATTAAAAACATTCTTGCTGCTCTTGCGTCAAGGAATCCATTTGCCTGGTGGCAAGACCGAAAGACGTATCTTAGTTAAAAAAAAAAAAAAATCAGGAATTGTACTTTTAAGCGCAAGGTAATTTTTCATTCAATCAGACAGACCTTTAAAATTACTTTTAAAAGTAAAAGTTTTGAATCGGTGTCTTTTTCAACTAAAAGCAGCATACAATAAACTTAAAAAAAAAATAAATGTGGTTCGGCTCTTGCGACTTTAAATATGGATTTGTTGACGCAATAACACGAAACATGCGATTTTAAAACTTTTTAAAAAGTTCATTCCATTCTGTTTTCAAGTCAATAAAAATTATGATTTTTTTCCTGGTCATTTTAAAGCAAATTCTTTATTCTGCGAGACTATCATTCCTTCTCAAAAGCTTTAAAAACGCGTTAATTAAAAAAGGTTGAATTTAATTTTTCTTGACGTCATTAGAAAATATTTGTATAAATATTTTTTTCTTCGTATTCTTAACCGATTTTATACAACGAGGAGGTTTTCAATTCAACGGAATATTTTTTTTACGTACATATATAACCGGATAAATTTGGATCAGGTGATCCTGTTTCGATAATTCTTTAAAAAATACTTGTGTTTACTTTTTCTTTATTTTTTCAACCCTTTTATCGCTAAGGCATTCTAGGATGTATTTGCCTTCATATTACAGTCGCAACAGTTTTTTTTTATTTAAGACATACTCTCAAATGCTGCTAGCTGTATCGGACAGTCACTGATTTGTTTAAGGCTTGCTTTCACTATGTCAAATTTGGCGACATACATAAATTTAAACGTTCTTCACATTAATCTTTGCCAAATCCATTGCTATTATTCCAAAAATAGTTTATACCAAGTGATCAATTTTTTCGCTGCTTCACTTACTTAACTGATGTCATTGTCATAAGCGCATCGAAATACCCTTAAAAAGCTGCTTGAGTGGCAGTCCTTGGCCAGTTATAAATGTAGGTACGTAGACCCGTGGGAAACACTCTTAATTCCTTAAACACTCCATAGAATTTTTCATAGTGTAAACAAGCTTTTATACTCGTTTTTGCTGCGTAACAATTTTAAAATCATCGCATAAGCAACATTAGTACTTAAGCTGTGTTTTCATGCTATTGAATAAGTCGGGGGGAAAAATAATAATAAAAACATAATGATAATAATAACTTAGCTATAAGCACATGCTTTCGCTAGAAAATATTTTTCTTTTCAATTTATTAAAAATGCATTCTTATAAACACCTACAATTCAGTTTGTATTTGCATAGATGTGTTCGCAATTCACCCCTACTAATAATAATATCTAATATCAAAATAATTGTTGTCATTGTTGTGTATGTATGTACGGGTAGATATTAAAATGGCATACCCATGTATAGTATGTGTGTGGTTTATTATTTTTTTCTTTACTTTAATTTTAGTTTTTATTTAACAATATGTACCTATGCATAATTTATTAATAACCGATAGATTTTTTGTTTGTTTTCTTGTTTATATTTAAATTTAATTTGTTCGACTATTTTTGGTTTTGATTAAAGTGAACATTTGAATTATAAAATGTGAAAATATTTAACCTTAAAAAATTTGATTTATTTGTTTTATTTATTTACATTAGCAGAAAAAGTCGTTTTGTGAAAACTCCAGAATTTTCAAGGGCCCCTGCGTTGATTTTTTTTTAGGATATTTACTGACCGGCATTAATATATGGAGTCATAACCGTGAAAATGACGTAAGCAGATTTTTTTTTAAGTTTTTTTTTTTGCCCTTAAAACACCAAGATGCATTTCTGCATCAATAGAAAATTTTAAAAAGTATCTTGACGGTCTATATCGACTGCTGAGTAGAATATTGACCTATCTCGGCAGCCAATTCGAAAACGTCCTATCTTAAAAAACTTTTCGCGAACGCTCTATTTCAGGATTTTATTGAAAAACATCCTATCTCAGAATATGGTTGAAGAACGTCCTATTTCAGAACTCGTTTCAAAAACGCCCTATCTCAGCTGCCGATTCAAAAATGCCCTAAATATATCAGCACATTTTGAAGTTAGATAGGGCGTTTTTGAACCAAATTCTGAGATAGGGTGTTTTTCAATAAAATTCTGAAATAGGGAGTTTTTGAAAAGTTTTTTGAGATAAGACGTTTTCGAACTGGCTGCCGAGATAGGTCGATCTTCCACTCAGCAGTCAATATATTATTGATGAATTCGAAATCTACAAATTTAGTTTATGTTAATTCCTTCTTTTTAAATAGGTTAATTTTGAGCAACAATGTTTCGAATGCGCCTAAGTTGTAATCCTCATTTAATTCTTTCAAATTAAAAAAAAATCCTTCATTTGAAGCGTTGGATTTTATATTCATGATCCGTCGGTTAGAGTGGCATAAAAGACATCCCACTTTATTTTTGTTGGGAATTATTCTCGTAAGCCATTTGCCCGTTTTTTTGTTATGTACTCTAAGGTCGCTCTTTGTTCTACTTTTCTTTGCGACCCCCTTCTTGTAGCCCTTGTTTCTATCTGTATCTCATATTACATATTATGGAATATTTGAGTTATTGTTCAGAGTTATCTGCCTCCTTGGAAAAGCAAAGATAGAAACCACGGAATATTAAAATTTCTCTCAAACTAAAGTTTCAGCTATGCCTTGCTGTATTAGCGGAAAATGATATTACTTGAATGCCCCTAGAGACCTTTTGCAGGGCCAAATTCTTTTGAAATAATTTTCGATGATTTTTAATTTAACTATGGATATTGTCCTTCAATAGCTCCAAAATTGTGGAATTATTCTCATAGTTGCATTCTTTCGCTTAGCCCCACAAAAGGAAGACTGGTGTTAAAATCTTGTTAGTCAATCCAGATCGCCGATAATTCCTGAAGGAATGCTGGTGATCCCATCTCGTGAATGGCAATGCTGGGACCGGTGTATTTAGATTTAGGTTCCATAAAAGTGCACAGTAGGGTACATATACAATGATATTTTAGGCGTAAATCTAAAGAGAGTTAGCTCAAAAAAATATTGGTCGATTTTATTTTGAGAAATTCGATTCGTATTCCAACTAAAGCAAATATTTTGTTCGCTCCTTTGGGACTCTTTTCGGAGTTGTTGTTGTTGTTGTAGCGGCTACAACAACCCCGCCCAGTTCGGTCAATATCTCAGTCGTTGTCGTCAAGTTCCACTAACGACAGCCCTAAGAAGCGTACAACCTCAATAGGGCCGGTCCACAGAGAAAAAGGCGTTAAGGTTGTCGGGTTTTCCGGGCATACGAAGAGATGGTTCGAGTCATGGAGTGTCTCTCCGCATGCCGGACACTCATTTGGTCCATCTTCGTTTAGTCTGCTCAGGTATGAGTTTAACCTGTTGCAGTAGCCAGAGCGAAGTTGGGCTATTGTGGTTCTAGTCTCCCGAGGCAGGTGACGCTCCGTCTCGTTAATGTCCGGTGGTTGTGCGCCTAGAACGGCATTCACAGGTCTGGAGTCTACATAACTAGAGACAGACTACCTGTGAATGCCCTTCAGGGCCTGTCGATAAGCTGACGGGTCCAGAGGCTGCTTAATGAACCTCTGGACTTCGTCCGGCAGTTCATAGAGATGGCTCCTGACGTGCCTGGGCGAGGGCTCTTCTGTAAGCAGTCGCCTATTTGGGTGACCACGTCTATGGCTCCCAACAATATGGTCCTCTGCAATAACGACTCCTACATATCGATGGTCCTCTACACAATTCAAGATTCAAAAAAAAAAAAATTTTACTATTGTTAAGTGGCTCATATCTACAATACTTGTCTTACCCATGTCTAATCCATACTACATACTTCAGTAATCCTTACTACTTAGTAAAGATTAGACTTGGATTAGAAAGGGATTAGAGACATGAGCCACTTATCAATGGTAAGGGTTTTTTATTTTTTGAATTTTAAGTTGAGGACCATCGAAATATATGCGTTTTTTTCATTTAAATAGATCAGTGGCAACACTGTTAAAAATATCTCGATTTCATTGGACACAGATTTGCGTGTTTTAAATATCTGTACTCCCATACTTTACATTTTAGTCGGCATATATGTATGTATGTAGATATACTGGCTTCATTTACAATTTTAGATAGGGGCAACTTATTTGAAAATATTACCGTTTAAAAATATTTCGCACATACATATACAAATTTAGTCGGATACCCACATTATAATAGTTTGGTAAATTTGTTTTAATTTTTACACAGGTGGCAACTCTAGTATAATAAATTTCAAGTAATCGACTGACTAT